GGTGGTGATATTACTGTTGTAGTTTTTGCCTGCGTTAATTAGTTACAGGTGGCATCTCTCTCTTTCAGCCTGTAGGCTTCCATAGGTAAATGGATGAGTGCTTACCTATTCTGTCTTGCAAATAGTTGTTGCTACTACGTACGATGGGAGCTTCCATCTTGAATCTTAAGACACTTAAACGTACGCGCCATCTCGTGGCAACTTTCATAACGATCCCAACGAACATTCCTTTGAGAAGGTTCCTGATACCATCCCTGTGCCTTCCACTGTGTTGGCGTGTATGTGAACACATTTGGGACTAACAGGGTTTACTAGAATCCCACCACTTCACCGCAGAGTCACCGCAGTAGACGTTAGATGAGCGCTGTCGCTCCGCGGCACTTGTTATGTAAAAATTGTATTTTGGATATTTCTCAACTACCAGAAAGAGTGAGGATACAAAATTTTTGCCACATGTTAAGCACAATATGGACCAAAATAGCGCGTCAGGATTTTTCTTTAATTTTCATATTTACCGAGAAAACTCGAAAAAACTGCTTAAAAATCAAGTTGTGTTAAAATAGAAATTTTTAGCGAATAAAGAAGCATAACTAATAAAGTACGGCACTTAATAACAATCCCTGACGCGCTTTTTTACCACAATATGTTACCATTAAAACGAGTGTAAAATTAAATTAATCCGAGTTGTAATCACAGAGAAATATCCATTTATACATCGGCTACTATGTCAGTACTACTCATCGATGGTTATTGAGTAGTAACAATATCATTTAACATCATCAATAGTAATTTCCGTTGCCTCTCGATGTCAATTTTGGATACTGCAACGTACTACAACAGAAACAGAAAATAGTATTGAGCGAGTGCTGTTTGCTTGTTTCAGGTGCGCAGCAGCACTGTGTGGATGCTCTTGCCTACGAGACGCTCATCCCCAAGTCAATAGCCCCGCATATGTCAGCGGCTGGCTGAGTACCTCGTGCTGCGGTGAGTCTCACCTTCTCGAACTCTGTGTGTGTTTGTGCGCACTGTATGTGCACGAGCAAGTGCTGGCCGAGTAGTGTCTGTCTCTCTGTATAACTTTATACCTGTATGCGTATGCGTGTAACACCGCCCAAAAATTCACATCTCAAGATTATGATAGCTCTAATTACATTTTGTAGAGTCGATAGCTTTGCGAGCGAGAACTTGTTGTGACAACCATGACTAAGAGAATGATGAATTTAAGTTGATAATCTGTTGGAAATCCGAATGCTGTTGTTTATTGACACATGTACATCATATTCAGAGAGTCGGACAAGTGTGATTTCAATACAACATGTAATCATTTATTGATTATACTACATCATACGTGACAAACAACAAACAATACGTCAGATCTTGTAAGTAACATTGACATATATGCACATCATTCTTCTTGCCTTTTTCTCGTTCTCGCTCTGCCTCTCTGCCCCTCGTTCTATCTCTCTCTCTCCTCTCATCTCTCTTCTTCGCCTTCTCCCTCTCTACCCTCTCATCTCTCTTCCTACCCTAGGCTCTCTCTCCTCTCATCTCGTCTCTCTTCTTTACCTTCTCCCCTCTCTCTGTTGTTTATTGACACATGTACATCATATTCAGAGAGTCGGACAAGTGTGATTTCAATACAACATGTAATTATTTATTGATTATACTACATCATACATAACAAACAACAAACAATATGTCAGATCTTGTAAGTAACATTGACTGTTTGTACTATCGATAAGTGATTAATGACGTCGTTGCATGCAGGTCTGGTAAGGAGCCATCGCCTGGAGCTGCTCCGCATCCTCGACAACCTGCTGGGAGAGGTAAGTCACTTTTGTATTCTCCTTGCCTTTCTCTCTGCCCCTCTCTACCCCTCTCGTTCTCTCTCTATCTGCCTCGCTCTCTCCTCATCTCTCTCCCCTCTCGTCCCTCTCTCTCGCTCTGTCTCTCTCGCTCTGTCTCCTCTCATCTCTCTTCTTCGCCTTCTTCCTCTCACTCTCCTCCTCTCTTCTCCCTCTCTCCTCTCTCGTTCTCTCTCTCCTCATCTCTCTTCTTCGCCTTCTCTCTCTCTCCTCTCTCGTTCTCTCTCTCCTCATCTCTCTTCTTCGCCTTCTCTCTCTCTCCTCTCTCGTTCTCTCTCTCCTCATCTCTCTTCTT